GATACAATTGATCCCCTCATTACAAAATCTTCTGAGAGGCAAATGGAGCAGGATGGAGCATCACCACATTTTTTCCAGAGGTGAGACAATGCTTGAATCAACGATTTCCTAGGCAGAGGTGGTGCCATAGAATGGCCAACAAGATCTCCAGATTTGACACCTCTTGACTATTTTCTGTGGGGTCACTTGAAAACAATGGCTTATAAGATTCCACCAGGAGAAATTGATGATCTCAAAAGAATAATCATTTCAGAATGCAGACAAATCAATCGGGAAACGTTTCAAGAAGTTCGTGAAGAATTCGAAAATAGGCTGTTCTCCTTTCTAGAGAATAATGAAGCGCACATTTTGAGCAATTGCTTTGAATACCACTCTGTAAAGTTGCATTTTTTCTTAGACTCGATTCGTCTAAATAAATTATTCTAGTTAGTTTGAAAGGAACAAGTAGGGTATACCATTCTCAGCTGGATGAAGCACCAACACATTTTGTTCTGATTGACAGAAAATATGTCATTGTTCACTGAAACCATATACAGTCTGAACTCTTTGATAGCTGGCAACATTTCACAAGTACGATCCTGGATTTTTTTCAATTTTTTATACGTTAGTCTATTGGTGTTGGAGTGCATAATGTTTCATGAAAAAATGGAATGAATCAAAGGAGCTGTTGGAAAGTTGTGACAAAAATATTGTAATTGTAAATTGTAATCTTCGCAGATCAGAAGATATATGCAGGGTGGTAAGTTTTGAAATGAAAGCCCTGTAGAGAATACAAAAGGCAAGTCCACCACAAAAGGTGTACATCAGTGAGACTTTCAGATGGGACAACGGAGACAACGTGTACCTATCCATCTTGTTACGTTCTCACACAATGACAATGATCAACGTTACCAGTAGGCGATTGCTCGACCGGTATATTCGATTTTTTATTGTTTGTGAAAATTCAAAATTCAATGTATTCATATTCAAATGTAAAAACTTCACAAACGATAAGATTTCCACAAAATAGTATTAATATTTTTTTTATGTTCAATAGATGTAATTCAATGTTCGTCGTGGCATATAGCCAGGGAAGTAGTTGTTTTCTGTTGAATAGACCGAGAAAGAATTGATATTTTCATCACATAGAGAATGCGAATTCTCAATGAATTTCTTCATAAATAAATCTTTTTTTTTATGTTCATAATTGAATCTGAGAATATTCCTTTTCAATTCAATGTATTCAAACACGATCGGTATATTATTATTTGATTGATGAATGTTTGTAAAAATTGAATGTATCCAATAATTATATTATTTATGAGTGTGTTATGATTTTATAGTATGTCTCCTGTCGATATTAGTATAGGTACTTATAGCTTTAAGGATCACTGTGAACTAAAATAATTTTTCTACTCACATAAAATGGCATTTATCGTACGGATATGTACCACGCTAAATGGTCGATTAATCACGGATTGTCGATCTGTGATTTATTCAAAATATTAAACACGTTACCATGGCAACACGATTTCTTAAACACATCACCATGGCAACGCAGTTCATTAAACACAGCTTCAGTAATTCGAGACATGTCTGGCCTGTCAATTGTATTAACTGTCAACTGTTATTTTCATATTTTGTATCAGAATTATTCAAACAATATTCGTTTGTATCGGAATTCTTCATTAAAAATATATGCGAAAAGTAGACGAGAATGAAATCGAAGAGAATGTTCAGGTACTTACATACCTCCAAGAAGTGTTAAAATGAAGCATCCATCTTTGAGAACAATTTATTTATTCAGCGCTAAGCATGACAATAAACGTGAAACAAAGGTTAGTAAGCAATGGACTGGACATATCTACAACCAATATCACTTATACGTGTCTCGCTGGTTGCATGCAGTTGTATGTATTATGTTTTCAATTCCCATTCCTTTCGAATTATTTTGTAGGTTAGCAGGAATAGCAGGTATGTTAATTAATGTAATTTTTGTAGTTCGTAGAAAAATCATAGTATGTAACGCGTTTATAAACTCTTCTAGACACTCGTTTATTAAACACTCGCTCCGCTCTGCTCCGCTCGTGCTTAAATCACTCGTTACTAAAAGGACGTTTATAACACTTGTTACATAATATACTATTATGTACACAGCCAAACCCTTGCTGTAACTTTTTGTTTCAAAGCAATAAAACTATTATTATCATTATTTTTATAGTTAGGAATCATTGTCAACTATACTTCCTCATACCAGAACTTGTTTCTGACTGGAGTCACATTTTCAATAAATAAATAAAATAGGTAGACTTTTAATAAAATTCCTTGAAAGATAAATTGATGTACTTTGTTTCAATTACCATGGATATGCATTAATTAAACCTTATACTTTCTCCAATTGAATAAGCTGTAACTAATAATAATAATAATAATAATAATGTTTATTCACTCTTCATCATACATTTGACATTCAATATTTAAATATTTTCAAATTTTTTTTTTTGCCAAGATAGGGAATAATCATTGAATCACAGTATCAATCACAATATAACAATAAGATAATCACATTAATCACAGTAATAACAACAATTATCATAATATTTCGAGTAACAGTCACGAATAAACATAGTAGACCTATAGAAACCGAAGTTGTGCATAGGCTGTATACATATGTTATGTTCAATCGTTTTGAATATAGTATGGAATACAATTGAGATTTGAAATCCAAGGCAGGGAAAGATGTTCACAATAATCAGGTTTGAAGATGTTGATATTCATATATTTCTTCATAAATGAGACATTAGGAAAGCAACTTAATTTTGAAAAACCAGTTTAATATAAAATTATTATTTTTATTTTCGTTAATCACAATCAGAGTGAGGATCTTAGACATTTCTGATTTCAATTATATTGTGTATAACTGATCTATCAAGATTGAGGATGTATGAATCTAATTTTTACTTCAGCAGGTTAGTGGAGTTCGAGGATATAATTAGTTGTTTTATCGTAATATCCAGTGAGTTGTATATACGAGTAGACAAATAAGTAGAGGAACGCTGACCAAGAGATTTTTTTGTCATTTCCGTTTTCGAAAATAGTTTTGATTTTTGTCTGGTGGAATAATCGTGTTGTAGGTTACGAATCTTATTTTTATGTTTGTGAAGGTCAATAACTATATTTCTGAAAAATATCTGTCGAAGATCGAAGCACTTGGTCTCTTCAAAGAGTTCATCTGTGGGGTGTCTGTTTCTCTTTTCGAATATTATTTTTAAAAATAAGTTTTGTAATACTTGCAATTTTCTTAAGTGTGTCTCTACTGCACCACCCCAAGCAAGTATTCCATAGTTCATCCGTGATTCTATAAGTGCATAATACAATGTCTTCATATGTTGAGTACTTAAAATATTAGAAAAATATTTAATTTTATGTATCAAAAATCTCAGTGCATTTGTAACACTTTGTATGTGGATGTCCCATCTTAAGTGACGGTCCAGTGTAACACCTAAGTATTTAATGTGTTCAGCTGACTTGATAGTGCATATTTTATTTCGATTAACAGGAATCTCTAAATGTTCGTACTGGGGAAGGCTATTTTTATATGCAGTAAATGGTAAATATCTAGTCTTTTCATACTTTACTGTGAGAAATTTATGGTTGAACCAATTCAGAATATTTCCAAAATCTGCTTCTATTTTGTTTTTCAGGTCTTTCCAGGACTTATCTTTGTATAGAACAATAGAATCATCTGCAAAACTATATATTTCCCCTTGGCTTTGTATGTTAAGAAGATTATTCAGATAAATATTGAATAAGATAGGCCCTAAAACGGTCCCTTGCGGTACACCGTAAGAAATATCCTTTTGTGAACTACTTTTCCCGTTTACGTTAGTATATTGCTTTCTGTTCTGAAGATAACTCTCAAATAATTTCAAAGGCAGACCTCGCATTCCTATATCTTCCAAGGCTTCCAGCATTAGCTTATGGCTAACCGTGTCGATAGCCTTGGATAAGTCGAGGAATATACATATAGCACTTTCGCCTTCTTCTATGACTTTATATAATTTGGCAGTCAAGTTTGTAATCGCATCTTGCGTAGACTTCCCTTGGCGAAAGCCGAATTGTTTCTCTGATATTATTTTGTGTTTTTCAAGGTATCCGGATAGTCTATATTTCAAAGCTTTTTCAAATATTTTAGTTAAACTAGTAATGAGTGATATTGGTCTGTAATTTTCGGTTTTTGTTTTGTCACCTTTTTTGTGCAACGGTTTCACCACAGTTAATTTGAATTCCTTCGGACAAAAACCTGTTTCGAATATTCTATTGATCAAATGAGTTATTGGGATTGTAACTTCTTCACATATTTCTTTCAATGTTTCACTTCTAATGGAATCATATCCGGGTGATTTTCCGGATTTCAAATCATTGATTATATCTGCCATTTCTTTTTCAGATGTTGGTTTGATAAAAATGGAATGGTTCATTAAATTTCTTTCTTGTGGAGGAGTATTTGGTGTTTCTATTTCATCTTCTAAGTTCTTGCCGACGTTTATAAAATAGTCATTAAAAATTTCGGATATTTTATTTTCATCATGTATGAGTTCGCTTTTTTCTGATCTGATTTTTTTTATCTCATTATTCTTCATATTACCGTTTGATAAAGTTTTCACCACATTCCATAATGATTTAGAATTATTTTTGTCGCGTTGAATTTTTTGTGCAAAATAATCGGATTTTGTTGTTTTAATGAGTCTATTCAAGTAATTGCGATAATTCTTGTATTCATCTGCATATTGATGGGGATTCTCTCTATATTTCTCATATAATTCTGATTTTCTATTTATCGATTTGATCAAGCCGTCAGTAATCCAACATTTTCGTTTAATGCAAGCACGCTTTAGTTTAATACACACTGTGTGTTTGATAATATGATTGGTTAGAATATGTAATATGTAATGAAAATTCATATAATATTTTATTGCGAATCTTGTAGGTATGTACTTCAAGTGAATATCATAACTAACCTTGAAGCTGATTCCAGAAATAATTTGTTCTTTGGTTATCATAACTGTTTGAAGATGGACTCTGAGACGTATCCTGAGAAAATGGATCTATTTCTGCTGGCAGCCAACCCTAGAAAACATTTAGCAGCTGTTTTAACGGTTTCTATATACTTTGAAAAATCTTCGAGATTTATAATAGTCCTAGAACCGGCTGCAAATTTCGACCGTTATATATGTCCCAAAAGCATGTGAAACCATTGTAGTTTATCGAACGACCTGTGCCAATCACTATCTCCAACAAAATGATTGAAAAATTGCACTTTCCTGTTCGGAAATCTGGACTCGATTTTGCGATTTAATTACGAGATAAGAACTATGTCATCCGATATCAATTGAATAGTAGATTTCAAAAACCTACCTGTACCAAGTCTTAGTGTAAGCCAAACCACGGCACAGCGATTTATTTGCAGCTTCAGGGTTTCTATAAATGATCGTAACATCGTAGTAGCCTTTGAAATATTTTCTCTATTTGCCGCCTTTCATTTATGGAGATTCACACATTTGACTTTAATTTCTGACATCAATCATTATACTGTCATAGCTGATAAACTCACAATTGTCAGTTTTTCGTTAAAATTTTCAAACGATTCTGTTTTCTACTTCGTGATTGTCGTGTTGAAAAGAGGGATGGCTTATTCCTCGGAGCAGAATACATTTATTGTGATGTCTTATTGTCGAAATGGCACATTCACCAATGGTGGATGGAGTTACTCGGTAGTAGCCTGTAAGGATGAGTTCCTGGCGAAATATCCTAATGTACAGATTCAAGAATCTTCTTTGAAAGCCCATATCAGAACAGTGATCGAATGATTCATCCAAACTGGAAACGTTAATAAAAATAAATCAACAGGAAGGCCCCAAATATCGGAAAAAGTTGTCGAAAATCTAAGGGCGCGTGTTAAGCAAAATCCCCAAACGTAATTGAAGAGATCTTTACAATCTGGTGTGCCACTAAATACATGCCATAAAGTGCTCAAGAAAAGATTGCCTATGCACCCTTACAAGACCAGTGTACTTAGTGGTGCCCGCGAGAGTCTCGTTTTCGAGAATCTCGCATGGTCTCGTCTCGTTTTCGAGACGAGACTCGAGACAAGACTCGGACAACACGAGACGAGACTTTTATTGGTCTCGTCTCGAGTCTCGTGCGAGACTTCTCGTGTCTCGTGCGAGAGTCTCGCAAGTAAATATTTCTACGTGCCGACTGCAGACTTAAGAATTTCATTCATAGAACAATATATTTAGAAATAATTCAGAGTATTCAGACTATTTAGCACAGATAGACAAAACATTTCATTTATAAATACTTTAAAAACACATACATGATTGTTGTAAAACGTCGTCGTAATCGAGGTCGTAATGCATGTAACAAAAACGGACTATTCCCTCATTCCCTCTCTTCACGGCGACGGAATATAAAGGCAATTCTGCAATACTGACAGATCGCAAATTGAATGACTACCTGAAAATCCATAAATAAGTCATTCTGTGATAAATAGTCTGAGATAACCTTCATGTCTTAACGACTGGGTGAGAAACAAAAACATTTGCGATCGTCAAGTCTAATCTCTGCTATCATCCCTTCACTAGCAATACCCGTCAGACGAACTAGACAAGCTCAGTCAACACATCCTTTCGTAGTCAACCTCGAAAGATGTCGAACAGCACTTTATCAAAACTCCTTCATCCATAGAACGGCTAGGCTCTGGAATTCATTGCCTGAGGAAGTATTCCCAACAACATATAATCTCCAGAAGTTCAAAAAAGAATCCAATACCTACCTCCTGTCCCTATCCTCCCTAGGAACGCACGATGATCTTTGAACATTATAGGATAGGGATTCCCTTTCGTGCGCTCCAAGCGATAAAAAAAAATAAAATGATGTTGGATTCAAGTTTTTGTTTTGTTTATTTGTTTAGAATATACGTGTTACTTTTTATTTTATTTTTATAACTTTCGAATATATAATACTATGTTTTTTTTCTCGCTTAGATGTATGATGTAAGTATGTACCTATTCGGTACTTACTTTTATTTAAATAATGTTATTTTTGTTGTAATTTTCTCTTCCTACTTCTACATTATACCTAGAAAATAGGTAAAGGTAAATATATCCCGTACTAGACTGGAATAAGATTATGCATGACGAAATTGCGATACTTTTGCGAGACTCTCGTACGAGACGCGAGACAAGACGAGACTCGTGACTGCGAGACGAGACTCGAGACAAGACTTCATATTTCATCGGCGAGACGAGACGATACTTTATGAAAGTCTCGTCTCGTTGGTCTCGTGTGAATCACTAAGTGTACTACAGCAACTTCTGCCAATAGATATCCCACGTCGTCTGGAGTACTGCCAATGGTTCCAAAATAATCTCAACGATGACCAGCTATTGGACTTAACATTTTTCAGCGATGAGAGTTGCTTTCATTCGTCGAGATACGTAAACTCACAAAATTTTAGGTTTTGTAGATCTGAGAATCCCGACAATTTCATTGAGACTCCACTACATTCTCAAAAAATGGGGTGTGGTTAGCAGTTTCTCGTAGGCGAATATATGGACCGATTTTCTTCGATGGCACTATCAATGGTGAAAGGTACAGACAAGTGATGTTCATTGAACCATTCATCAATCAACTTGATGATGAAGAAATTCGAGTTGGCTATTTTCAGCAAGATGGGGCCACTGCCCACACCACACGTGCAAATTTAGAATATTTACAAGAATTTTATGACAACCGTGTGATAAGTCGAGGAGTTGATCCTTCTTTTCCAACACGTTCTCCAGATTTGACGCCTTTGGATTTTTGCCTTTTTGTATATTTGAAAGATGAAGTATTCAAGAGAGACAATAATAACCTTGAAGAGCTGCAAACCTCAATAACACATTGCTGCCAAAATATTGGCCCGGAAATGCATTTGATGTAGGTTAATGAAATAAACCGTTATTTATTACTTCTTTAATAAATATTCTTGATTTGTTCCATTATTCTTCAAACTCCAATATTGGACTCTCCTTTCTTTGAGATACATGTCCATAGTGTATGCTAAACGATATAAAAAAAGATCCTGTATATGATCACTTCCTCTCTTTTTGATCGTTAAATGTTGTTAACAGCATTAGTAGAAAGCGGCAAATGGAAAAAGATGTCAACAGCCACTACGATGTTACGATCATTTATAGAGACCCTGTATTATTCCGGACATATTTCCGTCTTGTGAAAACGAGTTGAAGCAGGTAGCAAATATAAGGGGATGATGTCGCCGTTGCGAATATCCAAACGTGCAGCGATTCAAACTGATCTGAGTTAGTGGCAGATCGTCAATACTTCCGAGAATATTTCGGCCCCCTCTAAACATAATATCCGATTTACCAGTGTGAAACTCACCACGTGGATTAGAATACTTGTAGTGTGAGCACCACATGAGTTTCACACTGGTCCACCGGATATTATCTTTCGACGAGGGCGAAATATTCACGGGAATATTGACGCATTGTCACTAACTTAGATCAGTTTGAATCGTGGCACGTTTGGATATTCGCAGGAAGGACATTTTTCCTTTTCATTTGCTTTTTGTTTCAACTCCTTATCACATGACGAAAGTATGTCCGGAATAATACGAGCAAATGAATCGTTGTGCCGTCCCTAATAGCACACAACGTCCTAGAGACGTCCCTATTTGGTACAATTCACGTCCGTATGTCCCGAACCGAAAATAAGTGTCCTTGGGACGTCCCATCCCGTACATCCCATGCAATGTCCGAGCGAGGACGTCCACGGAATGTCCCAGTTGGTACATCATTTCAAATAAACTAGAAATAGCATTCCTTAGACGTCCCACGTGGTACATATTGTAGGATGTCCATGCAAGGACGTCCTTGGGATGTCCCTGATGGGATATGATTTTAAACGTTCCTTTAGGGACATCTATCGGATGTCCCGAGTAGTACATATTCTGGCATGACTCCAGATCTTATAAAATGTCCCTTCTAGACAACCGCATGAGATGTCCTTGATGGTACATACCTTCAAATATTTCTGCACAGACGCACTTAATATTTCCAGGATCGTATAACAATCGAAATGTCCCTTAGGGATATCCGTCGGATATCCCTGAACTGTACTCTTCCAATGTTCTAGAAATAACGTCCTATGGACGTCCCAGTCGGTACTTTCAATATGTTGTCCCTGCGAGGACGTTAACTTACACCTCGCCGACGAATGATTGCTCGTAGGCTATAAGTACTCCTCGTCAATGTCCTTCACGTAAGTCCATTGGACATCTTTGAGAAACTTTTTGGGGACCTTCTACGGACCATCAACTCAACTGGATGTTCTAATCAGTTATGCAAGATCTGGTCCTAGAGGGACCCAGAAAAATTCAAATTCTAGAATAATTCGTACGTCCCTGGGACATCCAATGGGACATCCAATGGACATCCAATTGATATCCCTCAGCTAGGTTGTCCTATGGATGTCCTAAGGATGTCCTCTGTAGTGCTCGATGAGGAATACTGTACGATTTAGGTATTCGATAGTTGTCCCAGGGACATCCCTCAAGGACGTCCCTAGTTGGTCCTCAAGTGGGACATTTGTGCGTCCCACAGACGTCCAATGGACGTCCACGGTACCAAATTCGAACGTAATATGGACCGACTGGACGTCCTAAGGATATCCATGGGACATAAGTGTGTTATTCGGACTGATGGGTGGCACAGGTAGGTTTTCGAGGAGACCTATCATTCAATTGGTATCGGATGGCATTAATTCTTATCTCGTTAGCAAATCACGAAATCGAGTGCGAATTTCCGCACAGGAAAGTGCAATTTTTCGATCATTTTGCTCAGGATAGTGATTGGCACAGGTGCCGTTCGATGAACTACAATGTTTTTACTCTCCCTAAGGAGAAACCTATATCATTCCGTTATCAGTTGACGATAGAAATCTGCAGCCGGCTCTCCGACTATAACTTTGTTTTTCATGAATGAAAACCCAAAGTTATCTCCACAACTTTTAATATAGTGATCAAAAATCAATAATAACGATACATGTTTCGGGCTTATATAAGC